CCTTCAAACTGGCTGCGTTCATACAGTGCGGTTGCGAAGGAGAACAATCCAGAGATTAGCTGTGGAGAGTCTTCCGCGAAGTCACAGTCGTAGAGCGAGAATCAGATTCAGTATAGAACTTTTTCGACCATTGCAGCGTTCCAGCAATAAGCGAGGTGCGCGGCCGAATCGCTCGAGTCGCGAAGTATGAACGCGGTTGTATCTCGCGCTACAATCTTGTAGTTGAAGAGAAATATGTTCTATCTATCCTCTTCGGAGTCATTCAGATGATGAGCGTCTATTCGACAAAATCTCCTTTTTGCTGTTTCCATCCTCCCGAGGTCACTCAGAGTCTTTCAAGGTTTAGAGACACTTCCGCAATGAGTTGCTGGCTGATCCCTCATTTGGACCCACTCGGCTATACCTCACTCAGTTATTCGCTCCACCGCGATTCAGACTTGACTGTTCTGTTAGGAGCAGGGTTTTAATGCCAATGAAATTCACTCATAAGCATGCAATGGTCTCCATGGCCTTCCACGGTCGTAAAGAACACGTTATGTTTCTTGGTGGTCTAATTGGAACCAATAATCCTTCAGCGTTTTTTTTTCGGCTACCCGCTATTTACACAACGATTTCTGATAGCACACTCGTAAATCCAAGGAAATAGGCAGCAAAAACGTGATTTCGATAGGTAGCAATTAAAAAGCGAGATTATACTACTCCGAGCTTCCAGGAGAAGTGCTTTTTGCACTCCGTCGTGCTCAGCAACGGGTGTTATCGAGGCAGGTAGCCGTCAACGACTTTTCACCACAACCACCCACCCAACACTACTGGCGCCAACGCCACCACCTCCCTCAGACAACTGCCATTAATCAATGTCGACTAAACCGTCTAACCATCGTGTGTGTGTGCGGGAGATGTAAGGAGGGATAGGGAGGGAAGCGGATGGATAAAAACCGTCAAGGCGTCGAGTACCGGCCATCAATCTGGCGCTGTAACCAAAAAAGGCCGTCGCCACCGTGCATAGGTGTGTCTCTGGTTGGAATGGAAAAACTGGCGTGTGAAACTACCTGATCGGCGCCAAATCGCGCGATCGCCATTGCTAATACTGTCTGGAATCGATCCGTTCGGGTAACGTTTCTAATAGGCGTGAGAACTGTGAGAACTACCAGTCAGTGGTAAAAAGGCCCAGAAACGGGTTCTGTTCGTTGAGTAACGGTTGTCATCCCGATCGGAATTGATCCATAGCGAAGATGGGCCATATGTTGGGATGTGAACGAATTTCTGATGCTGTTCGTGTAATTACCATCACCGCCGTGCACCCATATAGGCCTATTGGATATGGTGGTTAGACGGGGAAGCGAAATGGGTGTGGAAGACTGGCGGCGACGCAGTTTAGGAAGACGATCGTCGTCGTCGTCGTCGTCGTCAAACTTTTATTGTGAACAGGTTTCTGTTGCAGCAGCAGCCACCTACCCAAACAGCCATCGTCGTCGCCGCTTTCAGATGAGAATCTTATGCCGCTTATCACTCGAAAAACAATTCCTAGGCGAGAACACAAAGATTGCCTCGATACAGGGCCAAGGGAAACCTTCTGGGATCTCTTGGACTGAACAAATACGGCATTTCTGACAGATAGATGGTCATATAGGCAAGTACCTGAAGCATCGTTTGTGAGCAAGGAAGTAGCTGAGCAGAACTCGTTTGGGAGCTTGTAAGGAGCGAATAGGACTGGAACTGGAAACCTCTTCGGTTTTAACGGCTGTTGTCCCATCCAACCTCAAAATGCCGGCCCACCCTTGTGAGAAGAGCGTGATTTTTCAAAGATGTCGAGCGCATGGCGCAATCTGTTCACATAAGTTTTCGCTTCTGAGAGTTCTCTTTGAAAACTGAAGAGGAGCATACAAGAAAGAAGAAGAGCAAAATGAAAAATAAAATTTGTAATGCTGAAACTTAACAAATCTGAAAGCCTATTTAATCTGATAGTGAGAAAAGGCTTAAAACCCGAAAACATTCTTAAAAAACCTAGGAAAAGCCGAAATCATTCTCAAAAAAACCTAGGAAAAGTTGGAAGAAGACAAGGAGCAGAATCAGTTGCTTATTTTGGGAAAAAACGAGAGGTCGTAAAGTAGCGTGGAAATTCTTCCTGAGTTGTCAGCTAAGAAGCAAAAAGCGAAAAGCCTCAAAAGCCTCGAAAATGCAGCAACGACGTGGCGGCTTCTATCAGCGGCAGCTGACTGCAAATGTTTTCAGCAGAATGTAAACCAATGGCAGCTTTTCAGGAGAACGAAAAGGTTATTTATTGCTTCCATACGAAGTTTTCACGGTTCTCATGCACTCACACTGAACGTTGAGAGAATACCGAAATGGATTTTTCACCCGTTTAATTTGATAGATTCAAGGTCACTTGGCATTGATCAATACGTTTTTTGAATTATTTCAAGAGTTTTTGAGCACGAGCCCTGCAACCACAGCTATTACTGATCGATCGGGGAGATTTTTACCCAAAAAATAGATGAAGAAGTGGGTGGATTTGAGAGAGAGACGGCCATGGTTTCCTAGTAACGCAAGGTCAGCAGAGAAAATGCCCTGCTGGCCCGAAGATTTCTTCCGTTTAAAAGCGATGACGAATGAGAGTAAGAAAATGGGCGAAAATGAGGGTGCTGTGTGAAGAAGAGGAAGCGGAATAGAGAAAGAGGAATCACGAGAGAGAGATAAATCCAAGGTCGCTCGGTCGGGGGCGTACACGAGGCTCGTATGACCAGTTCATAGTCGCGGCGCTCTGTGGAGAAGCGGACAATCTATGTCACACACACGCACAGGGAGAGCGGTATATGGGTGTGGCCTCGACGGGTCGCACACGGCCATTTCCGCTTTTTCTGCAAGCCGCAAACGGCGGTGAAGACGTGATTGAGCAGCAAACAACAGCACAAAGAGAACTCGCTACCGCTTTGAGGCATGGGAAAGTGGCGATTGCAAGAAGTTCAAAAAATTGCCGGGAAACTTTTGGTAGAAAGAGAATTCCCACAGGAAACGGGCGAGTTTCTCCGCCCATCATCACAACGACATTTATTCGATGACAAGACTAGGTTTCTGGGAACGAGTGTGAAGGGCGTCTCCTACCCGTTTCTATCCCCACAACCTGATGACAATCAATAGATCGGTGATGATTTCATCGAGAAAAAACACCCGGACGCCATCTGTTTCGGAAACGTGCGTGTCATGGGAATAGTCTAGCATCAAGGGATCTAAGTTAAGGAAGGTAAAAGTTACCCATGAGGTGTTTGAGGAGAATCCGCTGAACGGGACTAGGAGATGCAGTAAATGAAAGGGCCATTAAGGCTAGTCGTGTTTCGTAGTAGGTATGATCCTTACGATCAATGTGCTTCAGCTCATGAAGCTAAAAGGATAAAGGATAAAGTCTTCGCCGTTATCAATCCCTTTGTGGGATGCGGCACGCATTCTACTTCCATTCAGAATCGTAGTGGGTTATTGAATGCGATGTGGCCTATACAATGACTTGCGGGGCCAGCCGATGTACAAGTCAGTGTTTTATCCTCCCAGACGAATCTGACCAATTCACCGTCCCCGGAGGGAAGATGGTTTAGTTGGCCTGGGCGGGAGTCGACCCGAGACTCGAACCCTGGACCGCGCGAGTGGTAAGTGCTTCACTTGTCACTACACCACCCTTCGCCTTATGAAGCTCCTTAGGTGCAATTAATCCCGAATGAGAAGAATTGAGCGATTGTGACCTTAGGGGAAGGGTGGAAGAAGAGATTATTTAGGGGAAGCAAAACAAAAATGAAATATTAAGATGACCGTCAGTGAGAAATGAAGTGCCATTCTCCGTTCTTTCCTAACAAAGGAATCTAAATGACGTATGGGGATGAGGAGGTACCACCCGCATGGTCTCACCCTTCAAGCCACGCAAGGTCCTTATCCCATTACAGTATTGCGTTGATCTTTAGGGAGAGGAACGGAGCTTCCTAGAGCCAATGGGAAACGATCAAGCTTTTAGGTCAGATTTTTTTTTATATGTTTGCTGATTAATGTTTTAGTTGATGGCAGGGTGTTGTTTCGCGTGGCGATTGATTCGCTAGTTCCGATCCAGCGTAGGAACTGCCACGTCCTTAGTGGTGTGTGTAATCGAGCCTCTCCTGTGTGTACACACAATGGCTAGCTGTCCATTTGCCTATCATAAAATCAGACCTCCTTAAAGAGTTAATCTTTGAGAGCCTCCGCTAGACTGAGAGGGGGAGTGCATGGCTTGGTGGAACTATTTCTGTGCCATCCGTTCCAGAGTTTTCTCCTTAGTGAGTGCCCAGTTGGTGCTCCAATCGCATTACTATTTCTAGTAGCTAATTAGTCTATCAGACAGATATGGGTGGGTAGGATTGGGAC